TTGTTCTCTTTGAATACGAATAGCCTCTTTTATCTTAAGCTGAAAACCGGTGGAAGCGTGATCTAAAACATGGAAGTTATCGGCTAAAAACAGAGCGCGACAGTGCGGAGAATCTTGCAAATGCCTGAAAATGTGAGAGGCCTTGTCACGTACTAAGTGCTCTCTAACACGTGTGGAAAAATTCCGGCAGGTTTCACCGATGTAACAGGCATTACACCAGCACATACTTATAGACCACTCGTGAACGGAGCCCGTCAGGGACAGGGTCTTTCACACCAAACAAGTTACCGATTTTGAAGGAAGAGAAAACCAGTTTGATATCCAAGTCATTGCAATAGCGCTTCATAAATGGCGGATCTTTTTTTGAGTGATAGCAGAAAAGTGGCCTATGTAGGGTACCTTAAAGTAGAACGTAGGTGAAGTGGTAGGAGGGGAACCCCGGGGATGATGATTGTTTTGAGCCCCAGTAATGAAACGGTTTATAATCTTCTCGATTAATTAAATGAGCAGGGAAAAGACTCTTTTTTAGAATATCAGTAAGCTTGTTAATGTCCTCGTGAAACCCTAACCAGTTGCTATTAATCTTGTAAGCCCTATCAACGAGTGTCTTAATGAGACCCACTTTGTAAGAGTACGAGGTGAAGCTGAAATAATTAGTTAGTAACCCAGTGAAAGTTTTCTTGCGGTAAATCCTAGTTAGAAAGGAACTGGGGTCATGATTGTCAATCAGGACATCTAAAAAGGGTAATTTGTGATTAACCTGCTTTTCCATAGTGAACTTGATGTTAGGGTGCCTAGAGTTGATATAGTCGAAAAATATAGTGGCATCTCGAGAGCAGTACTTGAACAAGTCGCTAAGAACCGAGTTCCGGTTTTAAAGAAGAACCCGAGAAATGAAAACAATCAATAATTTAATAGAGAGTGAAAAAATTTTCTCGGGCTTTTTAGAGAGCAAACGCCAAAACACAAAAAGCACCAGCGCTGTTGGGTGTTTAGCCTGTATTCTCGCCAAAAATGCAAACGCACGCGCACTACCTTCGTGATAGCATAGTTCTATTGAAGATGGGGAAGGAGATTCACAACACTGTAGCTGTGTCTTGTTGTGGGGATTGCTCAGTGTCTTGATTTCTTTGTATAACTGGCAAAATGGCAGTAAAATTTATAATCTTAAGTAAACGTGAATCAAATTTCAATTATTCAGAATTGATAACGATGATCATGAATGATTTTGTTTCAGACTTTTTTGAGTCCAACCCAAGAATTCAAGACGTATTTCCCACCTTTACGAGTTTGAAACTTGAGGCCGTAATCAACTCTCGATCTCTGTATCTTCACGTCAGACGAGTCATGACTGCGCTGGAAAATGCTGTGTTTTCTTTAGACGACGCAGAGATTTTCATCGAGTATTCAATTCAGCAAGCTGTTCATTAAAATTTTTCACGTGTGTTGCAAAATATTTGAAGGATAAAAAACGCAATAGCGTCTCTTTTGCGGGAAAATATGTACGGATATTTGTCCTTGGATATTATCTGTTCCTCGAAGCTCACAGTTTCCGCATCTTGGAACAGAAAATTCGAGAAAATGACCGCGGACAAATATTTGCACTTATTTTGGCGCCAAATTGGAGAAATTGTTTATATAGCGCTGTATGGTGATTTGAAATTCAGTAGAGTGAAGCATAGTGCTATCTAGGGGTACATATTGTTGTGAAGTGTTGTCTAGTTACTGCATTTTACGGATTTACAGTGCTACTCAGGGGTATGATGTTGTATTGTGCTGTATGATGATAAAACTTGCAGTACAGGGATGTATAGGGACGGGGAAGAGGGGCATACAGGAGTGCGTATTCGAGGAGACATGGAGTTTAATAATCGACGGAACGTGGTCGCTTAAAATGAATCTCTCAAATTGTCATCGACTATCTCTCTAAGCACTATTGTAACTTATCCTTTCTTAATTATTGTTTTGTCAAAACTCTTCCTCAGGGTCTTCTCTGCGTCCACATCCGAGATGGCGGCTACCGACTCAGTAGAGTCCGGCTGTGGATTGGCCTGTCACCATCTTGGATTCGCATTGTAGGTGGACCCGGGGCGAGGGTTATAGCGGGTTTCGCCCATAACGAGTTTCGCACATATCGTTTCGCCCA